TTGAGATGTGCATTAAAACACTGAAAAGAAGAAATATAGTTTTTTGTGCCGAGACAGGCCACTGATTATGTAGCAACCTTTTTGATTTTTTACATCGCATTATGCATCTCTGTCTGCTGCTTCTACTGACCAATGATCTCTTGGCATCAGGTAAGAATTGCCCGAACTCAGCCAGCAAGTCTTCTTGCCCTTTGAAAAGACTGGCAACTTTAGAAAACACCTCATCTTCTGTCATCCCACTGCTGCCACGGTTGCCTCGACTCTCCTTCACCTCCAGCTGCTCCTTCTAGGGGGTGGTATGGGGGAAAATGGTTTTCAGACGTGAGAAATGTAATTTAGAAAATTAGACTGAAATTACCACTAGAATCACAGTGCTGTGAGACATTTTCTTTGCTAAAATCCTACAAGAACAGTCAAATATTTGAGGTGGAATAGGAAGAAAAAGTTGGTAACTGACAAGAAATAACTACATTGCCTATATTCTGTCATAATATGCAAGTTAAAAGCAACTTAAATCTCCACAGTACCTGATATGTGTGAAGAATCTCTAGGAAGGCTCTGTAGATCTCTGGGTGATCCAGGAAACGGTTCTTAATCTTGTTTACATAGCTGATGGCACTGTCGAACTCTACGGGGCTCGTCTCTGAGGCAGGTGGGGATACAGACGACGTGGTCGCCTGGTTCTGGCTCTCTCTGCTAGTCAGGGGAAGAGAAAGCCTGCTGGAAGGCTCCGGAGGTCCTGCTGGGGTTGAGGAGGCTAGGGACTCTGATGAGGCTGCCTTGACTTCACTGGTCTGGGCAGGTCCAGCTTCAAGGTTGGCGGCAGTGGCACTACCTGAGGTTGCTGTCACTGCAGGGGTGGTAGAGCTCTTCCCCTGCTGGCTGGGGGATACCTGGACAGATGAAGAATTATAAAGTTGAGCTGCATGGTTAAAAGTGCATTCATTTAGGTAACTGAAGATTTTTACTTCAAATAAGATTTGGGGAATAATATCTGGAAGTAATTACCAGCCCAGATGGCACTTAACCAATGTTAATGCTCAGAAAATGTACTGTACATTACACTTGAATCCTACCAGTCTCAAAAGATGGAAATTAAGAAAAACCCTCAGTAACAAAAACATTTGTATGAATGGTATCTGTTCACATCCATATAATGTGCATCGTTGGATTGTTAGCAGAAAGTAGCTGACACTACATTTCCTATTGCGTTGTGAGAATTCTTTAGGGCCCGAGACAGTGCATAAATTTGACACCTAGAATTGGAACACTCAAATAAAATGGCCGACAGTAAATTTGGTGCACTATATAGTAAAGATGGAGGGATTTCAGACACATGAACTGTTTCCTTTAAAGCTACATTGTTTACACTATTTGACCACATTATGCATTTGTTTTGTCTACTGTTTACTTAAGTAGTATCACACTTATATCGAGGGAAATATTTACAGATAACATGCAGTTTTTGGAAAATCAATATGGGCAATACGGCTTATTAAAATACAAAAACTTTCATCCAAACCATATTCAGTGACCAATTAAATCAACACCGCCACCAATAACGGTTTTGATGCAAATCTCAATTAACACTCTGCAAGTGTATACAACACATACCTCTGCTGGTCCTAAGGCTGCCCGAACTAATTCTTTAGGTCAAGCCGTTCAAATAACAAAATCTCTCACAGAATATATATTTTTGGCAAAAAATTGTGTTTGTTTGTTTGTTTGTTTGTTTTCAGTTGAGGAATGTTATTGGGCAGCAAATGTTTATCAAAATCCAGTCTGGCATGCTGGTCTTCCTCAGAGTGGCATGAGAACCGTCAATTCTGCAACTATGTATTCATCTTCAAACACACCTTGAAGTCCTCTGGACTTACTGCATGTGAAACTGATGCACCTGAAACTGGTCTCTGCCAAAACTAAAAGAAAACACTTAGATTAATGTATAAATAAAATATGAAATCATATCAAATGTGAACTAAATTGAAACTGAATCTGAACTGAAGCCAACCACATCTGCTGAGTTTTGAGCCACAGTGCATCAAAACATTAGAAATGTACTCTGTGTTGTCGACAATGCATCTAAATATAAATAAAGTAAAATAGATATAAACTGTCTTAGAGAAATACCCACCCATTACCATCATTTTTTATACACATTAAATACCATCAGTTGCCACTTTATTAAATACACCTCGCTAAAACTAATGCAGTCTAATACAACAGTCCTGTAATAAAGCTTCATGAAGTTATAATGTTCATCGTTTATTGAGATTGGTGATTCAACTTTAGAATAAATAAACTGGCAAACTAAGTGCATGTGTACGATTCAGCATGGATCTAGACTGCAATTAAAAAAAAATAATTTGAAATTCAGTGCAGAAGAAGCAACCCTGTTCCTCTTCAGAAATGTATAGTTTATCATACCGTACTTTCAGACCTACTGAAAGTTGCATAAATAAAGAGTTAGTTTTGGAAATTTGTCAACGTCAGTGGTAGATTATCTTACCTGTGTGGAGAACGGAGATTGGAGGAAAGCCACCCCATTTTTGGGGACTTCTATCCGATACCCTGGTGGTAGAAAGGCATTGAAGCCCAAGACTAGGTCCGGGTGTCCATGGAAGAGCTGCGACACGCGGTTTATCACCCCCGGAGTATCGATGCTATTTAAGAGAACAGGCAGACACAGACATATTAGTGGTGTGGATGACGGAGAAAAATAAAAATTAGCTTGCCCTCTCATATGCAGCATGACGACAACTACTTCCTGATCAAAAAGAGTTGCAGCTTTTAGTTTAAGAAGAAACAAGAAACAATTTCTGTCAACTCACAATTAAATGTAAGAGAGAATATAACCTGCTGGATAATTAGTCTGGGATACTATCTGCAATTCCTTAAGTTATTGATAAATGCCTTCAAATGTGTGGTTGATCCCTCTGTCCTTATATCTGCAGTGTGATCAAAGTCTGCACACAAGCTCCACAATTTGGTGTCTCAGGAGACTTTATTTAGGAATAGTCATTTAAAAACGTATAATTAAAACTAATAGTTTAGTAAGTAACGTCTTGCATAAATACCTCTGTGATTTGAACTCTTTCATGATGTCAAGAAACTTGTTGTATATGCCAGGATCATTTGCAAAACGAATTTTGACTTGGTCCAGATAGGACAAGGCATCTTCAACCTAAACACAGGGAAGAAAAAAAAAAATCATGAATGCAGCATAAATTACAATCACTGTGGAGAAGCTTCTTAACAAACACCCTGTTTGTGCTGTTGATGAAGATCTCACAGGGGTCTCAATCCAGCTCGTAAACATGTACATTATATATTAAATCACAAGGAGGTGGCACTAACAAACAGAACTATTCCCTCAACACTATACGTGGAAACGTATTCACGTGAAGTTATATAAATAGGTAATGTTTGCTTTCTTTATCGTCAAGCTGAAGTGCTGTACAGGCTGTAACCGTTAAATAAATAAATAAATAAATAATCAGGCGAATACAAGAAACAACAAGCTGCTTTTTGTCCACTTGACCTCAGCTTTCTTTATTCACAACATCTAAACTATTGTAGGTTACGATTTTTAAAAAAAATAAATCTAAACGTGATCACACAAAGCGTTGTGACCAACAGTGCACATCTAAAGAGAGGGTTGTTGAAGCTAACGTTAGCCAACAGACACTCAACTGACGGTAATAACTTAACACTTAACACATACAAATCTACACAATACGTTTGGTCACAGCTGGACTTAAGCCAACAGTATCGTGTTGGCAAAAACAGCATCACAATGTTCCACTAACGTTACTGCGATAACAAAGAAACGTGTAATGAAGCCGCTAATCAACTGAAATAGCCGTTCTAGTGCTAGCCTGGCTGACGTCCTCCACTTTGTTCAGGGTGGCTGAAAAAAAAACAAAAAAACGAACAAGGAGGAACTTCCCACAACCGAGGTTTGAGTTAACGTTTGCTCACAGTTGACTGTTATTGACATCGTAAATACGAAACTACCACTAACTGTGTCACTCGACTGTCAACTCAGACGTGTACTCATTTAAATACAGCTTCCACATTTCATCTCAAATGTCCAATTTTTTGGCTGTTCAGCAATGAATTAACGTTACTTTTTAATAGGCCAGCGAGCTAACCGACGTTAGCCAGCCGTTCCTTTCACTACTCTCGACGTGAGGGGAGAAAGAGAAAAGCCTCAAATCCAGTGATCCGACGAACAAAATGGTTCTGACTCTGAGGGACTTTTCCCTTTTGTCGTGTCCGTTGTCTTCTTACCTTCAGCTTCTGGAAGTGCTGCTGCTGCACTTGCTTTTGTGTTATAACGTAAGGCTTGTCTTGGATTTGGTTTATTTGCTTCGCGGTGCTGTGCGCCTGAATCTTCGCCATTATCCCCGGCGACAGGAGGCTTGAGAGCCACCACCACAACTTGAGAGGGAAAGCTTCGCTGTTACCTCCAGTTGTTGGCTAGCCGACAAACCTTCCTCTCGGTCGGGAAGCCAGCCTGCCAGCAAGCAAAACCCTACTTTGCCTAGCTGGACAGTCTCTGCACAGCGCAAAAAAGGACGGACAATCCAGCAGAGTACAAGGGTGATGACAGACGAGCTGCTACTCGCTGCGACTTTGATTAAACATCATCATCGATTTAAAACAAGCTGATCCAAGAAGCGTCGGAAATTGAGCTAGGGGGACAATGGTTGCCGTTTATCGTATTTAAAATAACTATCGCCTGTCTCTTTAAATTCGGCGGCAGCGGTCTGTCTTGGCGTCCGGAAGCCAGAGTAGGAGTGAAAAATTGAAAAAAAGGGAGTGAAAAATTGAACTGCGCAGCCGCAGAGATGGGGAGGAGCTGAGGTCTCAAGAATCAGATTGCTCCACACCCCCTTCACTGCTACAAAGGAACAATGTTGCCCCGTGCACGATAGCTACATACTACTACTACATTGTGTTTTTAAAAGCATTTCAAGAAAGACAGGAGCAAATACTTGGATTCTAAAATGATTTATTGGTGACGGACTTTCACATGGTTAAAACATCAAGTGAAGTAACGAGCATGAAAAACAGAGGGGAATAAAAGAAGTGTGCATTTTACAACTATAGTAGCATCGTCATGTTGCCACTGAAAGGTGCGGTAAAGGATCTCCTTCCGATTCTCTAAAGGATGAGTCGCCCCCTAAGAGGCTTTGGCAGTAAGTTTCCACCTTTGTAGCCACTGTTGAAAAGTCAGTCCTCCTTTACTGACATCAGGCAGCACATGCTGGGCTGGCCGATCCCACCTGAATGTATGAACAAAACAGACGAAGTTAACCAGCAAACCAGCCCTTTAACTCTTGACTGAAGGTATTGATCCAAAATAACAAATGACGTATTTATCAGATAACAATTTTGAAATTAAACACAATTATCAACACCACTTCTTTGGAAAGCAAAATTAACACATCATCCATTGCATTGGAAAACTGTATGTGTACACACAATTAAAGTGTGCACATATACAGAGTTCTTTGAAAACGAATGGATAATAATAAATTATAAATGATAAGGCAGTACAAGTGATTCACTTTTCACATTCACTTTCACTTGCACTCCACATGTGACCTCAGCAATTAAGCTGGTTTGTAAACAGTGTACTACAAAAATAGACTCGGATTGAAAAATAATTCTCCTTTTTAGACATTTTTAAAGGTAACTACACAAAAAAAAAGGCTCAATGTGTTGCATCCATTGTTTTTGCGATAGGTTATCTACTTTGGAAATGGGCCTCACCAGTAAGAGATGGCCGTTTTGACTTGGACCCCGTAAGAAAGGCCTTGGGAGCAATGTTGGTTGAGGCATCTGACTCTCTGTACATGAGCCTCCAGAAGCTTCTGATCCTCTTCCAGGACTCTGGACAGCAGAGCTAAGAGCCACAGTGTAGACAAATGCATCATCATTCCGAAAACTTAAATTCCTCATCGTGTACAATATGTGTACAAACAGCCAAATACAGCACTTCTTACTGTGTATTTTAAACATGATAACATCTTCACTCTTGCTGAGTTTCCCCGATTACCTTTTTGATCGGGTGCATGCAGCAACTCTGTTTCCTTCTGAATTTTCCTCAAAGTAGCCGAGTGGAGTTGCAGTGACTGACGGAGAAAACGTAACTCAAGCTGCTGGGAGCGCGCCTGGGAACACAACTCCTCTGGAGCCTGTGTAAGAAGAAGGAGAACATTTGGTTTGTGTCAAAGAGAAAGGGGGGCAAAGGAGAAGATTATCTCAAAACGGCATTAATTGGCCGACCGATTAACCGATCAACCATCAAACTGACTAAACAGCTAAGTTCTCACAAGCATATATAGTGTTGCTCTGGGCAAGAAGACGTATAAGGAGTTCTCATTGTTGTTACAACACACTGTTGCATTATCTGCCCGGACTCACCCTGTAGAGTGGGAATGCCAGGTTCTGACACAAGCTGCTAAAGGTCGGGGATTGCAAGCGATGGATGGACAACCACGATGCAGGGATCCTTTGCATTCTGAAACAACAGAAGACATGTGGAATGACTGGGGTTTACCCCTTCAGGTGTCAGGCTACTTGTACTTACCCATCAACAGATCTACAGTCCAAAGCAAGAAGCGAAATCGTTCCCAACTGTCTGGCCTCCTTGGAAATGGAGTTTCTTTGACTGCTGGCTGCAGTGGTGACCACTTCAAACTGTGGCACCAGTTTGCCCCGGACAAATTCCTGTAACTGCAACAAGACAGAGGGATAGATGAGAGGATTAGGGATTTTTTTTTTTTTTGTTTTAGCTTAAAGAGGCCTAAACATTTCTTTCACCACATAATTAGGCAAATCTTATAACAATCGTTCTACTTCAGTGTCATAGATGGAGCACATTCACACCTCTGTGTGCAGACGAATAAGCGCTGTCTTGGCTGTTGAGTTCCCCTTAATCAGACCTCTGATATGCTCCTGTCTGAGAACCTGGAGAGACAGGACGACAACAACAGAACATGTTTAATGATGTATGTAGAAGAAACACTGACGCCTCTGTGCATTCAATTCACTAAAGGTTTGGCAAATAAAGATGTTTTAAATCTCACATAGACCACATTTTCCTAAATACGTACATGTGCTTGATCCAGGAGTAACACTGGCAATTTAGGTTATGAGAGGTCTCATATTGTCAATTCACTCTCACCACTTGTTGTCTGAAGTCAAGGATGCTCTGCCACTGGCTGTGGAGGTTCCTAAGCGCCTCCTGTCGGCTTCTGGCATGCTGGTCAAGTTGGATACACCGCTCTCTGATTTGATCCCTGGCTGCTGCCTGCATCACACACTGAAGTTCCACATCTAGAGCCGACCTGACAGAAACAAGGAGACAACACAATAAATGCATTGTGACCAGATCCAATCAGTCTCTAATTTAATGCAAAATGTCTGACTTCCTGTTGGTATATCTCTCGAGGCTTTTGTGCATCTCCATATGTTACACCTGTCTACAAATTTCCCTACATGTAGGTTAAACCGCAATGAGGGGTTGAATTTTTTAACCTCGTAGGGGAAAATACACTCTTTTTACTACGTGTGGGAAGCTCATCATCAAACTCTACAGTGAGTCTACTTACAGTGCCAAGGCGTCGTGGAGCTCATCCGTAATGCCAGACACCTCCTGCTCAGCCTTCTTCTTGCGGGCCTGGAGCTGGTTTTGGAGCTGCTGGACTCTGGAGCGAGTCTTGGCCAGTTCCACCAAACTCTGCTCCACCTCTTCCCAAGCATCCTGCAAACAAAAACAACCGTGCAGATCCACAAATAAAAATGTTGTAATCACAAATGCCAGGAAACACATGAACATGTTTTCTTTGCTACTGTGAGCTCCCTGAATATCACATGACAGTGTCAATGTGTGTTTGTGTTTAGCACCTCTAGGAGGGTCTTAACCGATGGCAACTCATTGTCCTCTTCTGCTGACATGTCCAGTAGGTGATTGCTTTCATAGCGGAACCTGCAATTGAAATGCTTCATAAAACTTTGGGGGTTTTATAGTCATAAAGGAAAAGAGAATGTTGTAACAACGTAGAGGTTTACCGTAGAGCTGTCACATCCTGCGTCACATCCAGAGAGGCTAGTTTCTCCTCTAGTTCCTTCTGCTCTCTGGATGCTAAATACTGCAAAGCGGAGAGGACATGGTTTGGAGGATAACCGCCCAACATGTTCTGATGACAGGACAAGCAACAAGTTGTTAATTCAGGGGGAAAATCTACAGAAGACAAGTACCAAAATATTTTGTGAAATTGAATCAAAATACAGAAACCTCAACAGCACTCAGCCAATAATGAAACACAGCAGTCCTTTGTTCACGAGTCATACTGAGAGAAAACAAAGGGATGAGAGATTAATTCAAGAAGGAAAAAGTTGACAATATTCTAAAATATTCTAGTTTTAATACTGGATTTCTTAACTAATGTATCCACGGTTGTTCTTACTGTTTGAATGCAGAGTGCGCCGTTTTCAGTTCACTCTCTTGTAAAGACTGATAGAAGTGGACCCTGTCGTCACACAGCTCTCTTACTTCACGCTAACGGGAAAAATAAAATAAATGGGATGATTTCCTTCAGTCAGCAGCTGATAAATAACAGGCATCTTGGTCTACATCAGTCATATTTATGTAAATAGTTGCTGGTCAACTGGTATGACACAACCACCATAGCATTTTTGTCAGCTTGCTATTCACTCTTTATTTTTCTGACTGAAACATGTACTAATGGATAGTATAAGTACACCAATGCTGCATATGCAAGATAAAGTGCACCCAACTCATCCCTACCCAGTAAAATAGAGACAAGAATTAGGCAGCTCTTACCAGGACCTGTGCCTCTGCCGCGACTTGAGAGTCGAAGTTGTCACCATCACTGCTGCTGGGGGACTTATTATCAAACAGCACCTCAATCTCTGCTTTCCTGCAAAACACAATACAGTTCTCACTTAGCACGGGTGTGTAAATGATCTCACTTCATTCATTTGACTTCAACTTTCTGCCTTACCTGGCTATTTGTTCCATGGCCTGGCAGTGTCCATTGATCTTTTGCGTGTCACCAGAGAGCACCTTGCGGCCTAAGATGCAGCGCTGCCTGAATGCCTGCAAGAGCAGCTCTCTGCGCTGACTGTCCTCCACCTGGGCCCAGGTACAACTGATGGACTGCTCTGTTAGTAAACAGTAGACAACACTGGTGTAGGAGATCACTTTGAATATTGTTAAAACTATGCAAGCTAAGCAAACAGCAACAATGAGCAGGCTTTTTGCGTAGGAGTAATGTGGTTTGATCAGACACCCAGCCCTTACTCCATGTGACGAACTAACCTTGTGTAGCCAACTGTTCTTCCGTTCCAACGATCTGAGAGTCCAAGTGACTGATCTCTGCTCTCAGTTGCTCTATCTTCCTCTGAAGCTCTCTCTGCTTAGCAGCCTCACTCTGGCCCTCAGCCTGCTTCAACTGAGCATGCAAAAACACCGGCAGATAAGAGAACCCCGACACATTTTAGTTTACCGTTGGCTGTCATCATCAGTGTGATCACCCAAGATTAATCAAGCAGGTATATCAGGAAATATAAGTGAACCACAAGGAGGGGGAAATAAGTCTTAGCCTACCTCTTTGTCTTGTAGAACTTTGTACCTTTAAGATCACAATGTCAAGGAAATTGCTGGAGAAACACAGTGTCCATCCATGGTGGATGAGGAAGTTCAGTGTACACCGTATACACATACAAACAGCAATAAGTATTGGGCAAGATACAGACTATCTTCTGTCAAAGTGACCTCTCACTGACATTTATAAGAGCAACTACAGGACCAAAATATACACATGAAGTTGCCATGGCCACTGTAAAGTGTGTTTAAAATCCACTATCAGGGCAGGAAAGGATACCACTGGAGATTGCCACGCATGATCCGCGCGTTCCTGGAAAAACAGAGAAACCGTCAGACAGCTGTAATACATGATCTATACCATAACATGGTCAGAGGGTGAGATTGCAGTATATTTTAGAGATGAAGCCATTTATCTGAAGCCAGGATGTTCTTACTAACAGACTAACCTCTGTTGAAAAACGTGTTGGATGACATATTTCCATATCGACTTTCCTGTCCCGATACAAAGCCTATAAAACAAATGCTTCATTTGTTGAAAGCTGCATTAAGCATCAACTGTGAGGACCTCTAACAACACGGTTAAGCATTAACGTTGATAGTAAAGACCAGCCGATACCCACGTTTTAAAGTAGCCGTCATTCGGAAGACTGTCCGGGAGCAGATTGAACTCCTCCGTCGCCCAACGTTTTAATTCCAACACAAGGTTTCTGTCCGCCATCCTGACAGGCAACAGAAAGTAAACAACTCGTAGCGAGCTCAGTTAGCTAGCTAGCACCACTAACAGGCTACTGTTCGTGTCAGCTAGCGTCGTTAACTCGAGTAGTTGACCACATTTAGCTCATTTGGGTCCTTTAACTTACCCTGCTCGCGTGGAAGATGCAGCTTTACTTTATTAACGTTATGCAGAAGTTACTTAGTAATGGCAATATGTTTTAATCCAATATACACAAACTTTTAACTTCCCGCCCGTTCACAGTACTTCCGGTCAGCATATCGGTTGAGACAGCGACAGCGCCCCCGCTGGTTGTAGTCGGTAGTTTTCATGATTACACCGATGCGGTTTTATTAATTCATCCAAATAATGAGGTATTTAAAAATCATGACACAAATACATAATGAGTTAGTTGATTTAACTTTCTTTATTATTTGATCTTTTTTTTTTTTTAAACATACTTTCTGGTTATATCGCTGGTATGATCACTTGTGTTCGTAAAGATATGTAGGTGTGTGTGTGTGTGTGTGTGTGTGAGTTCCATTGGTATAAATACCGGCACATGAAAAATGGCAAGTCGACCACATAATCAGGAAACAGCCAATTAATCTGGATGACATAGGTTTTAATTGTGAAATAAAAATGCAAGCAGGTTAAATGTTGCAAAAATCAACACTAAGAAGTAAAATCTTGCAAATCTAATCAGACATATTTTTTTATGTGGATGAAATATATAAACAATCATGCTTTTTGAATTGTAATTTTAGGATGCAGCATAACAAACTCTAATCTAACAACAAAAGTACAACTAAACTAAATAAAGGCCAATTTTTTTTTTTTATTTGGTACATTTGTAAAGGCAAAAAAGAAATATACACCAGTTCTTCAGTTCCATCATCTTTTATTTCTTCCTGTACTAAAAAGAAATAACTAAGTAGTACATGTCTAGATGCGCAGCATAAGACTTTCGGTCCACAGGGGCAAAACTGCATTATACCAGTCAACCTTAGTACTCCAAGGATCACAGTAAACATGGTGTACATATTGTAAAGGCCATACTAGGTGAATATGTTAAGGGGTTTATGTTGTATGTTTGTCATTATATGTAATGGCATTTTTTTTTTCCCATTGTAGCTCACTACGATAGCTTTCATTGCAGCTTTAAATAAATAAGACCTGAGTTTAACAAAAACTAAAAATGCTCTATGCACATTTCAGATTCCACAACACAAAATATTTGAAGTAATGCCAATAAATTCTTGTAATTAATACAAAAAATGGAACTAAACCCATTATACATTTTTGTATAAAAATGACTACATTCATAATTAGAGCACAAAAGTCAAAAACAATTGCCCAAACAATTGTTGGCATGAAAAGAAAAGTGCTCAGTTGGTCTCCTTGACGTTTTCCTCTGTGAAAAAATGTCACAAGGTGCTTGTTTTAGAGTTTTAATTTGCTTTAAGTTACCGTATCCTGGTGAAGAGATTTAAAACTGATACAGATTCCTGAAACAAAAGATAAAGAAACTTGGTTAATTATACTGTGATTACAGAATGCTGTTCCCAAAAAGTGCTTTCTTACCTTAGTTGACCGTGTTTTACTGAATACGTTCCAGAAGCGTAGAGTCTCATCTCCAGCTCCCGTAACAATGGCCTCACCATCCGGGGACATTGCCTAGTTATAAAAAACAAATTATAATAATAATAATTCATCAGATGTTCTGGCCAGCTTTTCAATTAATATGACCAACAGCAAGATCACGTTCGCATCATAAAGAGCACAGAAACTGACCAGGTAGAGCACTCTGTACGAGTGTCCTGTGAGTTTGGCAACCTGAGTGAGAGCTGGATATTTCCACACCAAGATCTGGTTCTGGGAGTAGCCATGGGTGCTCACCTGAAAAAAAAAAGAGGCAATGTTATATTATGCAGTGATGGTCTTGTTATTTGACAGTTGCACTGGTCTCAACAATGTATGTTTTTAATTGTGTGCCAAAGATACAAAACAGAAAAAGGCAACACTACTTCAAGTGGAAACAGGTACATTTTACAAAGTATCTCACGATAAAAAATGGAAACAGCGTAAGCCTATGCTCTGCTTTATAACTTATTTTAAAAATCGTTAATTGAGGACACAGTACCCAGGCGGAAGCTCACACGAACTTCGCTACATTTTTGTTTTAATTTGTTGTCTTTTCGAATTGTTTTGTTGCTGCCGTTTACATTCCTCCTGATGCACATGCACATGTTTTTTATGTGTAACAAATTGGCTGCAACTGCATTTTGTTGTGCAACCCTGTGTTGCATAATGACAATAAATCATTCTTGAAATCATCCGATTCTGATTTCAAATCTCTGCAAACTGATATAAATTAAGTACAAATACTTTTTAAATGTATTGTCTCTTAAAATGGGCCATGTATCATCTTATTGTCAATGCAAGTGGGACCCTCATGACAATTGTATGGCAAAACATTTTTGCACAGTGTGTATCTGTAGTCACTTACTAGCTCATTAGCATGTTTGGACCAGGCCAGGTTGCAGACCTGAGAGCCGGTGTCCATACACTGCAGCGGCTGTGAGGTCAGGGTGTTCCAAAATCGGATGCAGCGGTCAGCAGTGCCGCCCCCAGAGGCCAGCAGGCCGTGCTGGTGGGGGGACCAGGCAATGGCTTTCACTGCAGCCAGGTGATCCATGTATGTTTGCACTGGGATCAGCGAGGAGTGGTTCCAAACCAGCAGCTGAGATGACGAATAACAACCACGTCAGTAAGCACAATGAGTAAATGCACAAAGATGGAGACATGTTTAATAGGAACAACAACTGTACCTTGTTGTCGTTGCCACCAGAAGCAAGCAGCTGATGGTCAGTGCTCCACTTTAAGCCACACACTTCCTGTCTGTGTCCCTGCAGCCGTCTCTCTGACTGGAGTGGAGGAGTCCGCACATCTCTTTGAAGAATCATACGATCACGGCTTCCCGAAGACAACTGGTCTGCATTCCACGCCAACGCTCCTGCAAACAGATTACATTTTAATTCAGCTTTGTCACACTCTCAATATTTGTCTAAAATGTCAAAGGACACAAATATCAAGAATGTCAAGCATTATTTCAATTTTCTAGTTTTTGGTTTTCAGTTAATTTGATTTGATTGTGACTTGCGCATTCCTGCTAAGGCACTTTGTAAGCCATGTTCAGAGTTTAATTCCAGAAAACATGTTCTTACCAACTCTAGCTGTGTGTCCTTCCAGGGCAAAGAGCTTCTTCCCAGCACCAGCGTCCCAGATCTGAACATAGCCTTTGTGAGTCCCCACTGCCACCAGGTTACCCTAAAAACATGAAGAATCCTTTCATTTAAAGAAAAACTAACTCTACCATAACATTACCTTGATAGTTTCCTCAAGGCAGTGAGCTGTGTGTACGTACCCTTTCGGACCACCCAACTGACGTGACTGAGTCTCCCTCCACTGATAAATCACACAATCTTGTTACCTGAGGAAAAGACAATTCAACAAGCGAGTCACTGTGGTGTAACATAGTGATGAATACTGCCACGAATGAAAAACATTTCCACAAGTATATAAACACATAAACACACACACACACACAGGTAAGCAAACAGTTCAAATTTATGTTCTAACATCAGTTGTTTAAACACTCTACAGTACCTGGCTGGTACAGGCACTCCATAGGTAAACACATGTACCCAGTCCAACACTGAGCACATTGAGAGATGACCAGTCCACCAGGTTGAGGTAAAAGTCATCCTGCAGCTCTGGAGCATCCAGGACTTTAAAAGGGATCTTTGAGATCTTGCGAGTTGGCTTTCTTGGTGAACGTAGCAATTTCTGACTGTGACAGAAAAAGTTGGACATTGTGAAACCCTGAAGTCAAAATGCACCATTTCTTTGCTTGCAGTGTAAACAACAGACGACAAAAAGTATTTTTACCTTTTATTGCTGACAGGTGATAGAGAGTAGGGCGAGATGTTGGTGCCATCGTCTGGTGACGGCCTCTTGGCATTGAGCGAATACTGCAAAGAATACAAGCAGAAACCACCATATTCTATAAAACACTGTAAAAAATAAAACTGTACACTGACTGAATAGTGGGATACTACTCTTGATATCGTTCTTCCCCCCACTCAAGTCTCAGAGAGCATATTGTATGCGTGTCTGTTCTGATGATTGTATGATGGGCTTTATCCTGTAACTCAATACGTAACGAGTATGAGATGAAATGTTCATACAGTGAAGAGACTTCTCTCTTCTGGGGTTGATGGCTGTAGACGCCTGTCCTCTGTCTGAGGGTCCTGGATCTTTTCGATTCCTGCTCCCAGCAGCTCATTCTTCAGCAGAGCAGAGTACGCCTGCCCGTCTGCTGCATGAACACAAATGTGTTTTAGAACAAAAGCACAAAACTACAATCCTGAGTGCACATGAGCAAGTAACAGACGTAACAAAATAAGCTTTACAAAATGTATTCACCTTTAAGGTTATCAGTGGAGGCATCCTTTGTTTTTCTGTTCTGACTTGGTGACTTCTCATTTTCCTTAAAATCACAAAGATACTGACATTATTTTGACATTCAAACAGTGGTTGTTCAATCTCAGACAGAACATTCATACAGTAATCAACTTTACCTTAACACCTTTAGACTTTTGTCATCTATCTATCCATCTATCTCTCTCTCTAAAAGCATAGACACACTCCTCCACAAATGTACCCACAAACTGTTCATACATTAATCCGGTGGAAGTTGATACTCCAGTTTGCCCCGGCTCTGGTTGGAATGAATCTGTCTCCAAGCTTACTGGGTGAAGATAACGGGGAGCCGGTGGGTGTCTGACTCGGTGTCCGTTTCTGCAAAAACGACACATTACTTATTATAATTATAATATCACTTGATAATACCACAAAACCAGTGTTGATGTAAAACATTCACATTATTAAAGAACAGAGGAGGACTCACAACAGGGCTCAAGTTGTCACTTTGAATGTTGATTTGTCGGAGGAGGCGATGTTCATATTCTGGATCCATCTTAGCCTGAAGTCCTGATACCACAGCCACAGGCTGGGAGGTTGGAGACCTGTCCAACAAGCACAACAATGATATAAACACTTACATTGGAATGCGTTTTGTATTGCTCGTCTTCTAACAACAAATGCAAGGTTAGAAAGTTAGCCAAAATGTTATGCAAGTTAGCTAAGTCACTAGTATCCTGAAACTGCTGTTTTAAACCCGTAAAACCAGATAATTAGCCAGGTTTTGAATTGCAATTCTGTCTGGCATGTTGTTAGAAAATAACAACATTTCACATAGATCCCAGCACTTTTGAAAGATATCCTGATTATGTCATCTCTTCAGTGTAATCTTAAAACTCACAGTTGATGCTAGATTTGATGGAAGATCAGATGAGCAACCTTCCGTTTCAGCTCGACTAACTTTCAGGCAGTTCAAGGCAAAGAACTACATTTTTGAAAGCCTTGTTCGTAGCTAAATGTCATCAATTGGGCTTCTTTATATTCACGTTTAAACAGAAAAGGGAGAAAGAAACTAGGTAACGATAACTAGCATTAGCTAATTTAGCTAGTGGCTAATCACACCATATTTCTGCAATTGACAACATACATACAAAAGCAAGCCAGTCCCTGAATAGCACCACACGAACGCCAAACAGGACCAACAATTCACGGAAATATCAGATGAATAATCGAATCGTTGTATTTCAAGCTATTCACTCAGATCTGCAGCGAGTTTCGTTCGGTTTATTTCAGGTTACAAAAATCGCATTGCATTGTGGGAGTTTTGTCAACCCCGTGACGTAGGACTTTCAAATCAAAACACGGAAATGCTTCATTTGTAGCTAGAGGGAGTTTTTAAAGAGCTCACCACTTTGTGAAGTATTTCAAGTATTTCACAACCAATATTGTACCATCGATCCTAAAATGTACGTCCCCGTGTACAGTATAAACCTTTATCTAACAGTAATAGTGCATAGATACATTTTGCAGTAGCCTACATCAACTAGATCTGTAAAATATAGGAAATGATGTAGATCAAACTAGAACACTACATATAATGAATACAAGTGAATATAATTAATAACATTTGCAGTTTTTTAACTTGGCATTAACGGAAACATGCATACAAAAATAAACTGATAAATATTAAAAACATATTCAAGCTGCGATACATGCCTTTAGGCATCGGTGAGTTTGCACATGTATGTGTTTTTTTAAATTGGTTATTGTGTGGGTGAGTTTCTTGTCATGTTCAAGTACAAAACATAGAGGGCGTGCTAGTTCTATTTCCAAACTCTCCAGCCTTTGCTCGCCTGGGTCTAGAACTTTGAAACCGCTCATCTTAACGAGTTCGAGCCTAACGAGTTGACAATTCTGTCAGGCAATACCTGTGCTGTAATTTCTAAGACCTAAACCAGCCTGATTTCTTTTTCTTTTTTTTCTAAACTAACTTATTTTAACATAGGCTGGTCTTGTATTACACCCCCATCCTCGCCAGCAGTCTGACAAACACATTATTCTTATTCTATAATCAAAACATTGTGAATCTCAAATTCAAGACATGGAAACATTATCACATGGAAACAATATAAATTAAATAAATTAAACAAGAGAGTTGAACTTCATTGATCCCATACATGGAAATACAAGTGTAGTTGTAAAAAAGTAGTAACTGATATGTAGTTGTCTCTAATGTTTTTATTGTGAAGCCTCATTTTCAAAGATAACAAAACATGGCATGGCCATGCTTGTTTTCCATACAAACAAACATCAAAAGACATAGGAAGAACACACACAAAATAATCAATTAATTGAAGAGATAATTATATCAAAGATAATATTAATAATATGACTTATTTTCTAACTTCAGTAACAAATATGCAGTGGTGAGATATAATTAACATTTACTCAAGTAGCCTCCTGTAATTAAGGACAATTTTGACATACTTGTATTTGATTCCATTCTATGCTTTCTACTTTTACTTCCACTACATTTCAGATGGAAATATTGAACTTTTACTGCACTGCATTTACTTGACAATTATAGTTACGTTTTTACATTAATAGCACATGATATGCTTATCATATGATACTGTACTATACTACTATAATAACAAACAATGACAAACTACTGTATCAGTTGGGGATAGGAAGCTGAGTACAGGGGTGTGGTGGAAAGTTTTGTTGAGTGGTGTGAATTGAACCACATGCAACTGAACATCACAAAGACTAAAGAGCTTGTGGTCAATTTTAGGAGGCAGAGGACCGCTCCAAAACCAGTCAGCATCAGGGGAACAGAGGTGGACATTGTCGAGAATTACAAATACCTGGGCGTTCACATAGACAATAAGATGGACTGGACTAAAAAACATTGAGGCTTTGTACAAGAAAGGCCAGAGCCGTCTGTCATTTGTGAGGAGACTCAGATCTTTTAACATCTGCAGAAGCATGCTGCATATGTTTTATCACTCTGTGGTGGCAAGTGTCATGTTCTACGTTGTAGTGTGCTGGGGCAGCAGGGTGAACTCAGCTCATGCTAATAGATTTGATAAGCTCATCAGGAAAGCTGGTTCTGTCCTTGGAGTCAAACTGGAGTCTGTGGTGGAGGTTTCAGAGAGGAGGATGTTGAGGAAAATACTAAGTATTCTGGACAATGCCTCTCATCCCCTGCACACCACACTGAAATCACATCAGAGCACCTTCAGCCGTAGACTAAGACAACAGAGGTGAACCACAGAACATCACAGGAAGTCTTTTCTATCTGTGGTCATCAAACTGTATAACTCCTCTCCCTTCTGCAGGAAGGAAAGCTGAACAATCTGACACATGTGTAATATTACATTTCAATTTCATGTGCAATATTGTCTTCATTAATCTATGGGAAATATAACTTTCTACTACTTTTTCACGATCATTGACAATATCTCTCTCAATATCATGCTCAATATTACTTTTCTATTTTAGTTTCCATTAGGCACTGGTGTTAGTATCACTTCTTATACACTTTATATTTTTACTCTTGTAAATAACCATTAGTTTAATGTTTTTTACTTTATTTATTTACCTTACTGTAATTGCTATTGTGTTCTATTTTGCAATGGTGTCAGTATTATTCTTTTCCACTTAATAATTGTTATTCTATTGTTCATATACTTTTATATCTTAATTCTATTGTTTTTTGCTGTTCTTCTGTTGTAATCTTAATGGAACTCTGGCACAAGAATATCCTTCGGGATTAATAAAGTTCTATCTTATGTTATCTTATTAAAATGCTTAATGAAAAGGGTTAGGGTCAGGGTATATAACACTGTGAATGATTCCATTCTGCATGACTACATTTACTTTTGATACTTACATAACGTACGTAACATTTTGACTTCAGGACATTTATTTGTAATGGAGTATTTTTAGATCACCGTATTTCTACTTTTACTTACTGTAAGTGAAGGATCTGAGAACTTCTTCCACCACTGCTAATATTACAATACAATATCATACTTTGTCAGACCATAATGTGTATTGCTGAACATCTTTCATGTAGCTTAGTGTAATGCCTTGCTCAAGGACACTTCAATGAGGTGGATGCCTGCTGTCTGTGGGATTCACTCCACTGAACAGGAATAGATGGAGAGTTGGGCAGATTTGTCCATAATCTCTGTCAAACAAAGAACAGGGAAATCATGACTGTTCTGAGAAAAAAAACCTGCAGATGCAGACTTGCGATGAAATATTTGTTAATCTAATCAGGCGTGAAGCCTGGTTTTGGTTCATGACAGGTCAGTTGTATTTTTAGATCTGATGGCTTGTGTGCCTTCCTGCTATTTCACATTACACTGTAACAGGATTATAAATTGTCAATGTGTGTGTTTATGTCTTTAACTTTGTTTACATGTTTAGCTCTCATCCAAAAACACGACTGAATGTCCTCTTCTGTCACCACCCTATTCAATAACATTGTCTCTGCAGTGCACTGCTAATGAGCATGTAGCTATGACAAAAGACTGAGCACTGTGTCTTTAATGCTGACAAGTGTAGTGATAATAATCACACACAACAGAAGGCCCCCTGTGAACTTCACTGTGTGTTTTCTGGTGAGTGAGCCTATAGAAATGTACCACATCAGACACACAACATAGTTCTACAAGTGTGAAGGAAGCACCCCTCCCTCTCTCTCTCTGTCTGTCTATATGTCTCTCTCTCACAGACACACCCACACAACACTGGCGCCAACAGGCAAATCCCCGCTTCCACCCCCCCTACCTGACCTCTAATTATGTCATGCGAAAAAGCTGTGTCCCATTGAAAAGCTCTCTTAATCAAACCCAATTAATTCCGCTATTTTCCCTTATTGTCCCTTGCGAGGAACGCGTCTCTCCAATAAGACTGTTAACTCCAGCCGTGGCCCTTTCAGATCTACTGGGGTGCAGGAGCGAAATAATAGACTGTGCAATTAATCAATTAGTAATTATGGACTCAGCTGTTGCTAATGAACACAGTAACTGTGAGGTGAGTTAAGGCTTCCTCAAAATTACTAGTCTTCCTATTTGCAATTTAATCATCAACCTTTATATCTGTGGAGGAAGACATGAACGTGTGCAAATGCTAGAATGGATCACCTTTATGCAGTCATATTGTTACTGATAATTCTGAAAAACATATTCTGGCTACCTGTAATATCCTCACTTATTTGCGGAGTTGTTTTTAGCTTGTTGGTGCTACTGTAGTCCAAGTCAATTCACAAGTCTTTACAAGCTAACTGGAGGACAATTTCAAGTTTTTTTTGAGTAAAAGAGAACGAAACAACTTTCAAATACACTAACTAAAATCTTAGTTAGCTTACATTTGATTTACTTTGAAATTTTACATTTTTCATGTTGACCTCCAGCTGCTCAAGTCACTGAATGTTGAACTACAAATCTCTTGAATAAAGCTGTGTTTGTAGTGTTTTTTAAATTATTTTTTTTATAGCTGGTTGTTTCACTGCATAGCCCTAATAATAAATTATTCAGGTTGTGAAGCTATGCAAGTCAATTCATTTTCTCAAGTCAGGTCAAATCTATAAGTCATGTGTCAGGTCTCAAGTCTTCACTGACTAGCCAATGGACCCAGTCAAAAGCTGTGGGGATAGCTAAGTAAGTCGTTCAGAATATTTACCACATGAGTTCTAAGGTCAAGCATGAATCTGCATGCTCAAATCTCAAGTCCACATTTTTCTGTGAATCAAGTCCAATATCTCTGCCTCTATGTATTTGTTTATTTTTACTTGCAGGTGATTACCGCATAAGGCTTTTATTGGTTATGTGTCATCGTTGTGTGATTGATGTTCAAATTTATTGTCCAGTACGGTCAGGAGGATTAAAGGCTGTGTTCCTCTGTCTTACCACCACAAGACTTGACATCAAGCAGCATGCAGACAGATTGATTTTCAATACAATCCAGATCAGATTAGGTTGTGTTTTGGATGTAATGCTGTTTCAAAATTGATGCATCAGCAAGAACCATTGAGCTGAGAAAATGTTAACATTATATGGTGGTCTTTCTTAGATGTTCTCACCTATTTTTCTATGTTTCCAAATCCTCAATAATTTCAGAAAAATAGGTATATTTTTTGAGAAGTTCAGCTCTTAGTAAGTAGAGAGTAACTTACAAAAGCAGCAGATAAAATCTTACTTGGCTCACATTTGAATACATTTGCAATTCTGCAGAGTAGAGAATACCTTTTCACCAGAACCTTTTTTTCTCCATTTTGATCTGTCGCTGCTCTTTTTCCCATGCTTTACTTTGAGCCACTCACTCCAACTAAACGCATGCCTACCCCGAGCCCCTGACTGTGGCTACAGCCCCGACCCGGCCCCAGCTGAGCAGTGCCAAGCTGTCCAGCAAGTTAGTGTCTGTTCAGGCCCGGCCCAGCCCAGCTCGGCCTGGGTACTAATCCTCAGGCTGTCAGAGGACCCCGCTCTGAACTCATCCTGCAACACAGGAAAACGCTCTAATTGGGGGATTTTCTACATCATTAACTCTGATGAGCAGCCATCCCTCCCTCCTTCTCCTCTTCCTCTCCACTCTTACTCCTTCTGTCGCCCTCTTTCTCTCCCACACTTTTCTCCCTTAATCTCTTTCTTAATGTTTCAATTTTTCCTCTCTCCCACTCTGACTTCTTCACATTCTCTGTCTCTCCTTTTATCCTTTCAAGCATTTTTTCTTTCCATTTTCATCAATTCAGCGTAATGTTCGTTCATCTCTTTGAGAACACCATAAGCTATGATCTGATCAACAAAAAATAACATGTGAAAGTAGTCAAGTGCCTATAAACCTTTCTAGTCTTACCTGTCAACTTGTTACACTTTACAGAGTAAAATGCAATTTGTGTGATCCCTGAAAGTTTAGCTCAAACATGAGTTTTCTTTACAGATCAAGTTCAGTCACATGATTTATAACTGCCTTTACTTTTGCTCCCTAATTACAACTGGCCCCAGTTTGTGCCTATCACATGTTACCATTACATTTGAATCATAGAGCCATCCCGTTTCCTGACAAAGAAATATCAGTTAATTCAACAAAACTCGCTGCTGTTCAGGATGTATTTCCAGAATACTCAAAGACTCCTCAAAACATCTGGATGAAGAAATATACTGTCCGCTGCACAATAAATAAGATTGTGAACCTGTTTTCCAAATTGCAAAATTGTTTCTAATCCAGATAGCTCGAAATTACATCTGACCTTACCACACAGAAAATATATACACATTCTTTTGTAGGAAAATATAAAATACTAGAAAAACAATAATAAATCATTTTTGTTGTGCAACAGACAGAATCATTTTTCATCCAGGTGGTTATAAAAGTCTTCGAGGAGTGTTGTTAAATGGCATTTGGAAAATCGGATGCTCAGCTCTGTGACTTGAGTGTAGCCTAATAGTAATTGATGAACCACTGTGTGTAATTCAGTATCTAATCAGTTCAGGGCATGTAAAAAAAACATTTCTCTGTTGCATCCACTGGCCTATCCATATGGCCCTGGTACTGAGGTTTATCCAGGCCTCCATCTGTCCAAGAAAGTGATTCACACGCTGAGGAGGCCAGCTAGCATGGCGGCACCGGTCCCTCTGTGAACATGTGTTACAGCGGGTGAGCCTGCCGGTCTGCCTGGGGGCAATTAGGGAGTCGGGCCCTGCGGTCAGAGGCCCCCCTGGGAAGTGCTGATTGATTGGAGTCTCATCTTCCTAACAGGCTGGCACCCTGCCACCGAACCATGGAACAGCAGAGAGGATTGGGAGGGGTACAAAAGGGAGAAAGAGCTCTTATATGACAGAGAGAGACGGGGCACAAGTGTTAGAGGAAAAGAAAGAAAAATGTCTCTGCCCATGTATGTCAGATGATAACGATTATACTGTAGTAATCTTGGACTGCTCTTTAGACTTACCGGGGTAAAAAAAATAATACTGTGACTGTGTGGGAATGAGTGCACAGGTCAACATGAAAGCACTGCAGTGAGAAAGTAGAGATAAATATTCTATCAAACTATATTTATTTTCAGTAGATCTTCATTCTTTCCAGAATATGGTCATCAACGACTCCAGACAAAATCAAAAAGAAAGGAAACAATGAGATCACTAGGACAGATATAACTAGGACATGTAAGAAACAAAACAGCCATTCAAGAAAATAACCTAAACATTTCCACATTAAAAAAACTAAAACTATCAAACTTCTAGTGCATTTTTGTCCATTATCTAACCTTTGGCTTATTCTTGGTCCACATTTACTGTATGTAGCATCCTAAAGAAGCTGCTAATGTGCAAGGTAATCCTCATTCCCTCTATAATGTGAGGTCCTGGCATTGTCCAATAAGGAGTCTAAGCATCACTAACCAACAGCATTAAAAAAAATGAATACCTGGGTTTTTCCCCTCTGTTAGTAGTACAACAATGGGTTTTTAAATGAAAACACAAAAAATCACATCCTGTTGTTGCTGCTGCTGTAGTCAGTGTGAATGTATGACTTGCTGTCAGCACAACTTTTATACTTTTGTATCATATCAAAATGAAATATCACAAACATATAATAGGTAGTTAGGGGGGAAACATGTCTCCTTTATACATAAAAACAAAAGAAATACATATAAAAAAAACAAAAGTGAGTCTGAAATTGCACTTTAAGATGAAGGATTTTCTTTCCCTCTTGTTCCACAACAAAGTCAAAAGAATGTACCATATAACTTGTATTTCTGTACATATTCAGTTATTTGAGATGCTGCCTGCAGATGCAAAAATGTCTCATTCAAATCTATTCAGCTCTCCAGCTCATGTGAAACACATATCAAGACAATTAGAGCTTGACTCTGTAACAGATGGGAAAAGACCAATATTGTGTCACTAATGACCATAGCAGCTACAATCCATATTTCTCCTCCTTTGATTGAGAAAGAAAAAAAACTTTCATGACAAAGTGGTTACAAGGGCCTATTTAGTGCAGCCTGAGACTGTCCCCCCCCTGCCTCTTTCAGACAAAGGGGATACACTTGGATCAATTGTGAAGAACAAAGACTAAACTATGTGGGGTGACGCATCACACAGGGCTCTTTCTGCTGCCCTGCACGTACACGCAGCCACCCAACACTGAGCTGCCAACAGGTCTTCTTCTCCAACAGCCACTCAAGCAAAAAGAGAGTTACACTGGTCTCTAGTCTTTATTTCTTTCTTGTATACTTCCTTCCTTCTTTAAAGCATCTTAGCACAAATCAGAAACTGTGCAGAATTATTTTTGGTATATTTTCAGCCGTGGTCCACTTCAAAGGTGCCAACACATCCCTGACTCTAATAAACTTTCCCACCAAAGAATTATCTATTATACAGCATAATTGGGAGATTCTCTTTTTCCTGTATATTGAAAACCCCGACAGTAGGCCCCACTGGTCCTTGGCTGTCATCTTATTCCAGTCATACCAGGTTATCTAAGCTATACACTCAAGTATCTAAACTGGGTATCCAGTACAAACCAACTATAATAGGGAGTTAAGCTTAAACATATCTTTTTATAAACCAAAAGATTAGTGAGACCTGCATTTAACAGACAAAGTCAGAGACGCTGCCTTGATTTTTAAAAGCTGCTCTCACATCAAACTGAGACTGGTCTTTCATCCACAAAGTACGCTGAGACTCTGATTAGCTGAACCATAAAAATGCTACAATTGGATTAATTAGTAAAAACACAAACTTGGTGAAAAAATAGGAAAAAGGAAAGAAGCTGAATGTAACAGTTGACAGGAATAACCGCAAAGTAATGAGAACAATAATAATACCCATATTTGGGTGATTTTCAAGATATCTTAATTTCCTGTTTCCGGACAGCTGTCTTCTTAAAATATGAGGCATAAAGAAATATTTTGCCATTGCTTTCATATGTGTTCAAAGTGTTTGTGACCCCTGAAAAGCTGCTGCCTGCCATCACTAGACGTGCTGTTCAGGAATATGGGTGGAAGTACGCATTTATCCATCAGGAATTGTGGCTGTAAAGATACGATGGTTTGTTATAAAAATTAAAAAAAAGGTTGATCAGGAAAGACATTTTCTTGCTTTCCCGGGTGCAAGAAGACATTTTCTTTTAAAGCACCCAAGGTGACGCTGAACACTTTTACATTAGAGGGAGAACAGACATATGGAAATTGGTGGTGTAAAATTTGCAACTTAACAAGACTATAGAGTTCACTTGTCTGCTTCATGTCCTTGAGATGAGAAAAAAAAAAAAGGAAGTCAAAGAATCCTCGTTTTTCACAGTTCTAAGTCCATTTCCTGTGCTCTGTGGGTATCAGACAAGTCACTGTCATATTGTTCAACATACTGACTGTCCCTGGACCCCAAGACACAATTTCGACATCTTACTTTCGCAATGTCATTCCCATGGACTGGCAGGTTTTTTAGTCACATGGGATGCCAGGTCTTGTCCATGGATTGGAGATGTTCCTTGGCTTTCATTCTCAGAGCGGCGATACTGGAGCTGCGCTGGTCCACGTCCTCCAGAGGATATTTATCAGGGTACGGTGCTGTGCACTGGTAGGGAGGAGGAGCCATACTCTGCATCCCCTGGCCCATGGACGGATGAGGATGAGGAGTGGAGTTGAGGAAGCTGTGGCTGGGGTAGCTGGGCTGGAGGCCCTGAGCTGGACCCATGAAGCCCGGGATGCTGTGGACCGGTGTGGCGCTAGACAGGGGAGAGGAGAGCCAGGGGTCCAAGGGGAGGGAGTTGGTCATCGCGCCCATGCTGGTATGAACCGGTGGCGGGCGGTTGAAGGAAAGCATTGGCGAGTCGTGGAGCTTCATGGTGCTGGCATCCATTTTTTCCTGCCGACGCCATTTAGCTCTGCGGTTCTGGAACCAGACCTGGAGGACAACAATAAGTTCTCATGAAGTGTGTCTGAATATGCGGGACATAAACCACATTTACCACAAAGATTCAACTGGTATAAAAATGTAAATTTAATGAAACTACATGTGATATGCCATCACTTTGGATGTGTGTTTAATGATGCTCCTTCAAGTATGTGTTGACCCAATCATTAATTGTAAATGCAATTGAAAATATTTGGAAACATAATAAAGTATTTTAAGCTCCACACTCACAGAAATACTGTTCAAACTAAAGTTATTCAAATCTAGCTGCAAAAAAACACAAAGTGTAGTTAAATACCCACAAGGTCTACCCTTTTTTTCTCTGAAGAAGCCACCGTACAGTTTAAAAAGTGCACCTTCTTGTCCTCACACGCGATGTTGTCATTGTGTGTTGCAACACTTGGAAATACACACAAACTGCTTGCATAACTTGTGCAATCTCCTCACCTGAATACCTAAAAGCCAATGGCCACAGGCCAAAAGCTTGGCGGGCTTTCTGTAAGTCTTTAGGTACCTGTCAGCTCTTGGCATGTCGGCTTATTCTACTGCCGTGATGTACAGTACAAAGGAGTAGAATAGAACAACAAAAACAAACCTGAATACTTATTCATGTCAACAAACAAAAATATCTTTGGCTTTATTAATGAGAGAAGTACACATTTCAGATCTCTGTGATGTTTGGGTTCCTCCTACCTGAACCCGGACTTCTGGGAGGTTCACCTTCATGGCGAGCTCCTCCCGGCTGTACACGTCCGGGTAGTGGGACTTCTCAAAGGCACGCTCCAGCTCGTGCAGCTGGTAGGTGGTGAAGGTGGTGCGGTTGCGCCTGTGCTTCTTCTTGGGCTGCTCGTCCTTGCATGGCTCTGGAGACTTGCCTTCATCGCTCTCTACGCTCTTCCTCAGTTCACTCAGCTCCTCATCACACTTGTTTGTGAAAAAGCCGGTATCTGTTGAGCACAGCGAGAAAAATGAATCAGGAGTTTTGAAAATTGCGATTATCAAGGCAATGTTTTAGAAATAATGAACAAAAATTTTGAGGAAAAACAAAAGCAGAGTGGTGAGTGGAAATGAAGAATGTAGTGCCCACTTTCCAGTAGAGCAGACATTAGTTTGACACTTGCAACAATAGGCTACTGTAGGTCAGTGAAGCAAGCAATCCCTTGAACTTCAATGAAGCTCAAAAACATTCCTAATCGGATTTAGAAAAGTTGTGTCCAGTGTTGATATTCTCAAACAGTAAACCATCTTCAAAACTTTTGTGGTCACAAAAAAAACATTAAAAAATATCCACGTCCTGTCAACATTTGTGAGCACCAGCCACTGAAAAGCTACCGTTTACTGACAATACAGAGGTTTAAGTGCAACTGTCTCTCCTGATGATCCTTAAAGGCAAACAATTTCCCTTAGTCTTCCTCTCAATTGTTCTTTCGCTCCCTCATTCCTAATCTTCCATTATATTTTTTTATATCACTTTCAGCTCCAGGGAAATACAGAAAAAAATGACACAGAGGAGAATTAAATCTTTAACCGTATTAGTCTAACCAGCAAGTAATTGAATTAAACAAAGTACAAAGATGATGATCCGGCAATAAGATCAGTCTTTTGTGAAGCTGTACTCTGAAACATGTGCCATACATCATTCAGGTTGTGTACAGAGCAGTAGGTTGAATTAACTTTTAATTACTGTCCTGGTAGATGTATGAGTATTCGCAATGCAATTTTGGCATCTGACCAGAGAGAGATAATTGTTAATATTAGTGGAATGATTCAGATTTTACTAAGAGGAATCTTGTATTGTCCATCAATATAATCCAAATGAATTTAACTCCTACAGGCAAAAACATGTACTAGCTTCTCACTGTCCTCTTCAGTGGATTGGATTTGCTCAGAAAAAAGCTAGTTTTTCTGGGGGGGCCATATATATTATCACCTTTTAAGTTGACACAGTGAACTTTTCAGCAAACTGTTGCATAGTCACACAACCAGCAGATATGGAGCAACATTATCATTCATTTGGAGTCATGTTTCACGTGTCCACCTGGCAAATGTAAGTCCAATATTCACTCTCTTTTTGCTCCGATTTTGGTCTCTACCAACTTCAGAGGGAAGTATTTGGCTCTTAAGCTGCTTTTTGCTCCATTATGTTCACCAGCTATCACTAACTCTGTCTGTCTGCCATTTGGTGATGAGCAGGTAGTGTACAGTTGAGCCCTTTCACTGAAACTGTTGCATGCTGTGGCTGACAACAATGCTATGAGAGCGCTGAGAGCGAACCAAAGAAGCAGATTCACGGAATTTGATTTACACTTTTTAAATGTAAAAATAAGTATTTCATAAGTTAATGAACTTTATCGATTTAAATATTCATTTCCCTGATTATAGTAATTCAGTTTGTTTTTGAGGTTTTCTCAGTATCATTGTTCAATACATGTAGACATTTTTTCCAAAACGTCACTGTCCTCCCGTCACTGTTGCAGTACAACAACCGACAGTATCCAAATGTAAATATGAGTATGTCTCTGTGACTGAGATGTGTGTATGGAGATAGAGGAGGGGAGGGGTGGAGGCGGGGGTCATTGTGGTCTTTCAACTGGCAAACGGGAGCTGAGGCGAAGGCAAAGCAGGATCTTTAGGGGTTCATTTATCCACCTCTCATTAAGCAGCTATGACAAAGGCCAGGCTCTGACAAAGGCAGAGGTCAGGTCTGGTTCAGTGACCAGCTCTTGGCCTGTCAGCCCATCACAGCCACTGGTCTGAAGGCTGCCCACTGTTTATCAGCCAGCAGAACATCTCAGCTCCGAGAGGAGGGGGCTGACTGACACCAAACAAAAAAAATTACTCATTCAGGGGGAAACGGGCTGACTTCACAGGACAGCTACATACAAAAGAGTGATGTCATTGATGTGGATGTATGTTAATCAAGAAAAACAAATGTCTGCCTGGATTCAGTGACTGAATTTGAATCGCTTCGTCTTTTTTATCGGGTTTCTGACACAAAATCACCAACCACCTGCCAGATACTGCATGTGAAAATAGCTTTAGATTAAACATGATGAATTTGATTCTGAGACAAAACGATAACGATAACACCCGAATGAACTACTGTACAATCTAATCCGCAAAGAAGAGAAGATTAGGGGAATTCCACAAGGGGATGGGATTGGGCTTGGGGACATAAACCCCCTACACCATCTTGTCCTGCAATTTATCTCCCAATCTCAGCCCGCACAGTTCATGCAACGCACTCCACATGGTAACAGTGTGTAACACAGTGATTCTGAATCTGCATGTCACTGGTTTTAAATGGATGCAACACATTGGATCCAATGGTACCTTACCCATATTTAAATAGGTCAGATTTTTAATCATCAGTTGCCAGTCTGTCAAACATAGGATATTATCCCAAAATGATGTTCCATTGTTTGGATCATTTTTTTCTTCTTCTTTTTATTATTGCAGTTATTAAACATATAGGCCTACAGTGCAGATTTGTCAACATTCAAACATCAGAGCATATTTAATAAAATAACTGTTTTGTGGTGATACCTCCTTTTAAGCGTCTGTATTGTGTCAGAAACTGTTTGTTAAGCTAAAAGTTTTAGTCTTCTGTCTTTTTAGTGCATGCTCTGCGTGTAATATATGCTGTTTGATATGCTTCCTTACATCTTATGGAACACTTCAATGTTAACGGTATAAACTCAAATTCAGGCTTTGAAGTTTTTCATTCGCTCAGAAGTTGATGCTGGCTCTTTTATAACCCTGAAAGACTGAATCTGTGTTTGTGTCCAGAAAACGTTGTAGTCAGCGGTCAAGTTAGATTTATTATGTTTGCTCACAGGCATCAATATCCTAACTTCAGTGCAGCCAAATCAATTCTATCAAATCCAATTAAAATCTCTGAAACACTGAACCCAGAGCTCATACTTATCCAGCCTTCCAAGACCAGAGGTCCTGCTGTTCAATCAATATCCTTGACCATCTCATATGTTTTGAGACTAAAGATCAGATGATTCATAAACTTTATCTTCAATAACGAACTCTGAAGAAACGTCTGCACTGAAGGAACTCAACCTAAAGGTGATGTAAAACTAAATGCTCTTAAAGGAGATTTTACTGTATAAACTTTGACAGGACGGAGACCTTCAGCAGCAGCTTGACTCACCGTGGTACTGCTGCTCTGTGCTGCCATTTCTCAGAGAGGAAAGTTGCCCGCTGTAGGTCGGGTGTGATGAGGGTTCCTGCTGACTCCCAGGCTCTGCCAGGCCATCTACGTCCACTTTGTGGGGTCGCGGGGCCCCAGCAGGGCTGAGCAGGGGGTCCTGGTCTTTGCTGAAACCCAGAATGACATCGATGCTGTGGACGCGGCCCCCCACAGCGACGCCCCCACCTTTCCCCATCTCGTGGAAGTTGCTGGGTGAGAGGCAGCTGTCGTCCACCATGCTCATGCTGTCCAGTGATAAATGCATTCGAGCGTCTGGGCACTAAAATCAGTAGAAAGGGGTTTAAGTGAAGGACTAAAGGTAGAGTAGTGGGACAGAGATCACCTGGTGACATAAGATGACCTTCTGTCCCTACATCTAAACCCGCTTAACCTCTGAGGACACCGGAGCTCAAGTATCTATCCTTTAGAGTGACAGTACTCACAAGAGCGCTCATGGACACTAATGACACAAGTTACTCCCCAATCCGTACTTTTTTTTTTATGAACGATCAGTACTAATGGCCATACAGTGTCTATTATGAATGTGAGTTGCAAGATTTCTACAAAACGTTTCTCATAAAAAAAACACATCCATAATTGTTTATGTAAATCAAAGCTTCTAGTGGTATAAACCTCATTAGACATACCAATGACACATATCTTGCCACTTTACTGATAACATTGCCTCCCAGTACTTTGTAAACTCACTACAGACATTTGTCTTATTTATGTCAATATCATGTTTGGTAAGTATAGATTGTAACTGTAGCAAGGATCCAGATCTTTAAAGAGCAAGAAACCATTAATCACACCTGTGATATCTGTAATATGGACTGTTTCACTACAGCAATTCATTTACGGGTTATAAGGTTTGGGTAAAATAATGCATGTTGCTAAACAAACAAATGAAGTACATTTTTTGGAAAAAATATAAAAAAAATAAGGAAGATGAAAAAGAGCCTTTTGGCCAAATCTGGGACATCCAGGACAGCACGTTGATGTTACTTATTATTCAGTAAGTAAGTCAAGTAAAGTGAATTGACTGGATTGCAATAAAGAGTATTGTGTGCAATATTGATTCTACATTCGTCTATTATTTGAGTTCTGCTGTGCAATAGAAATAAATCTATACATCATCGGACATGTGAAAATGGCAGATTTTAGGTGCTCACTCATAGAAGATGTGGAGTTTTCATGAAAAAGACTTTAGTGTCAACAGCACCAGCTTGTGTCTGTTCAGTGCATCCTGAGATTCACCTACTGAGCACACCCCTATCTCACACATCTCCAGTTGCATGACAAGTAACACAGTTAAGGTTAGTGCCACTAAAAGGTACGACAGCCATAAAATAAGACAGTGATGTAGAGCTTACCTTTTGGAAGTAATTACGCTGAACTGTTAAAGTTGCTGAAGCCAGTGCTCCACCTGTTCCTCTCAGCAGCTCCCCCTCCAATTTCACTCTTCCCAGATCTGCAATGTGCAGCGCTCGCAATCACTCAGCCGGCTTTTCCTACCTTGCATCTCTCTGAATAATTTCTCTATGTAGCAAACAGTCCCGACAGCAGCCCCCCAGTGCAGAAAGCATTCAACAATTGAGTTCAGACGTCATGCACTCCGGCTTGGAGAGGAGAGTGGAAGAGGAGAAACACAGAGAGGGAGAGGTGGACAAAGCTGAGGGGGGCGTATGAGGTTAAACGTGGGGATTAAGAGAAGGTTAATAATTGGAATCCTTCCCCTGTAAGACTGATTGGCAGCTGGTTTCTGCAGAAGTAATTGTTTTAAATGTCATTTCCATTCACCCCCACAGCAGGAGGCCCGGGCTAATGAAGCCTGGACAAGACTTTCTTTCATAAATGTATTGTTTTAAAGACAAAACGCCCACTGAAATTTTTCACTAAGCA